CTAGCACACAGTGGGGGAGGTGGAGTTAGAGGACATGACTGTCCCTGATCTAGCCCCCTGCTGGTTGCTGATGTGAAGAACTTGAAGCTAGGATGGCAGCATACTTCTGTCCTTCTGCCACGCTGAGGACTGGGGCGGAAGGATTGGAAATTGGAGCTCAGACTACACAAGTTAGAGAAAACCTTTTGTAAATTTTAAATAAAGGCTGGGGATGTGGCTCAGTGCAAGACTCTGGGATTAATTTCCAAGGGGAAGCAGGGGAGAGATAGAGGCTTTATCTTGGCTAAATGATTTTTTTGTTGTTTTCTTCTGCTCAGTGATGAAACCAGGGCCTCCAGCCAGGTCTCTTCATTTTCCTATCCCTCTAAGGTTTGAGTGAGCACACAATGACTAAGAGAAAAGTAAAAAAAATAAATAATCACTGCTTTCTTTTTTAAAAAATCCTCCTCCTCTCCATCTGGGAGATAGGTCTCACTATACAGACTATTCAGTACTGTTGAGACTGGCCTTGGACTTAACTTTGTAACCTAGGCTGGCCTCAGCCTCCTGAATGCTGGGATTACAGATGTGCATCACCACATCTGGCTTATTTTCCTCTTTTTAAAAAATGTTTTTCGGGCTGGCGAGATGGCTCAGTGGTCTAAAGCACCTACTTAGAACAAGCTTAGCAAAGCACAGGGACCGCGGTTCGATCCCCCAGCACCACATGCCAGCCAGCCCCGCCCCCTGGTGGGCTGAGCTGGCCACACACACACACACACACACACACACACATAAATAAATGTTTAAAAAAAAATAAAAAAATGTTTTTCGTATTTATTTTAGGAGTTGACTTTTTTTTTGGAACTGGGGATTGAACTCGGGCTCTTGAACTTGCCAGGGAATATTTTAGGAGTTGAAATAGGTGAATTTTTTTGTTTTGTGATACTGAGGGTTGAACCCAAAGTCTTCATACCCAGCTTTTTTTTTTTTTTTTTTTTTTTTTAATTTGGGTCTCACTACATAACTCGGACATCTGGTGATCCTCCTGTTTTTAGCCTGCCCAGCGCTGGGATTACAGGTGTGCATGCACCACCACGTCTGGACTCAGTTGCCAGCTCAGGCGCCCAGAGATGGGGCCAGTGTGGCTTATGGTGCCTGGGGAGGGTCCCTGCGCTTAGTTTGCTGAGCTAGCTGTCTTGCTCGTGTTCCCAGCTCTTTTTATAATTATTTGAGACAGGATCTCACTAAGTTGACTTGGCCATGCTCTATACCTTGTAGTGCTCTGCCTTTAACCTCCCAGAGTTCTGTTATTACAGGCCTACAGCACTACACTGTCATTTTATTATGTGTGGAAAAGAATGATTATGGAAGCTAGCACTGTTCTTTTTTTTGTGAGGGGCAGAACCGGGATTGAACTCAGGCCCTTGTACTTGCCAGGGAAGCACTTATTCCACTGAGCCATCTCCCCAGCCCCTAGCACTGTTCTTAGAAACTGTTTTAATACTTAGACAAGTGAGCCAGGCGTGGTGATGCACACCTGTAATCCCAGCACTTGGGAGGCCAGGGCAGGAGGAGGAACACCATGAGTTCAAGGCCAGCCTGGACTACACAGTGAGACCCTGTCTCATACGCACGCATGCATGCATGCACGCACTTGGGCAATTTGCAAATAATTTGTCATTAAAATTTTAATAGACCTAAGTCTGTTAAGTGCTGAGGCTCCTTATCCCTTTGGAAGAAGATCATTCCTGAGAATAAACCCAAAGCCTTTGCACTGAGCTATAGCCCTGACTTTTTTTTTTTTTTTTTTTTTTTAAATCTGCTATTTTATTCTGAGACAGGTTTTCACTGAGCTGTCCAGGCTGGGCCTACATTGTGATCGATCCTCTTGCCTCCTAGAGTGCTGACATTGCAGACATGCACCAGAAAGGTTATTTTATTCACTTAAGAATATGTTATTCTGGGCCGAGGAGGTGGCTCAGTGGAATAAGCACTTCCCTGGCAAGCGCAAGGGCCTGAGTTCAATCCCCGGTTCCACAAAAAAAAAAAAAAAAAAAAAACCCGAAAATGTTATTCCAGCCCTCAAAGTCTTATTAGTATTCAGATTAGTTCTATAAGTAACATGAAATCCATTTATATTATAAAAGTATGGTTAACTTTGTTGTAGTATAGAACTCTTGAAAAGTAGCCTTTGTTCTTTTCATTGGGAGTAATCTGAGAAGCCTTAGGCCTTGTCACAGAATCGCAGCTTTCTCCGGCCTCATGGTGTGTTGACTGAGAGTATGGCCATCAGAATTGTATGTTCCTGTTTGAGCGCTAGGTGTTACTTATTAAACTGGGTAACCTTGGGCATATTTATTCCACTTCTGTGGATTTGCTCCCTGTCTTTAAGCATTAGTGGTGCTTATCTAGTGGAATGATGAGTATTAAAGGATAGGCACACAATGTCCAGAGAAGGAATTCAGCATATTCCTCTTCCCCACCTGAGTCAAATTGAGCACATCCTGTGATCTCTCTGGAAGCTAAAACCCCATAAATATTTACAGAATATATTAAGTAGAATGAATTTCTCATAGTTGTGAAAAAGACATGCTCAGAGTGACTAGAACTTACAGTGAGTTTTGAAAGATGGGAAATAGGGTAACTGGAGAAAGAAATAAAAGATACCTTAGAGCCCATGCAGGAATATACTCCTATGGAGAGAGCGCTATTTAGAGAGGGTTCTTCTAGAATTAAAGGGCCCAAGGAGTAGGACCCAGGACAGTTGTTTGAGCTTGTTAGGATAGCTGGATTGGATTTTTTTTTTTTTTTTCTTCCTGTATTTCTTCCTCACCAGTGCCTTCAGCTATCAAGTAATTGTGTTTTGTGCTCAAAGCAATGGTGTGTGTTTAGGCTGTAACTTTGAATGTTCTTGGAGGCTAGCCACATAGCTCAGTGGATTAAAGTACCTGCAAGCAGGCACAGGGGCTTCAAGTTTGATCCCCAGGCCTGCCATACCAGCCCTGCCCCCAGGGTGTGCTGAGAGGGCAATTGAGACTGGGCGTCGTGGCGCATGCCTATAATCCCAGCTCTTGGGAGGCTGTAAACAGGGATCACTTATGAGCCCGATCTCGTAGTGAGACCCTGAACACCCTGTAGACCCTTCCCTAAATATATATATAAAAAAAAGAATGTTCTTTGGGTTGTTGGTAATTCCTTGGGGAAACTAGAAACCAAAGATCAACATGCTAACCTTTAGATTAAAATCACCCTTTAAAACTTTGCAGAACCCTTAAAAAAAAAAAAAAAAAAAAAACCTATATCCACAGTGGTGAAATGTGAGAATACTGGAAACAAAAAGGAAAATCTGTAAGTTACAAATTGTCAGTACAGATCCTAGACAGAGTAGTAGCTCAGGAAATAAAAATAAAAGGCATACGGATTCCATAGGAAGAAAGTCTGTGTTTAAAGTTGGTGCATATGTATGTCTGTGGTCTGTAGAATTCTATGCTGTTAATAAAAAACCTGTAAGTTAAATAGGTGTGAGGAGGGTCACAGGATACAAGAACATTATATTAAAATTTGTTATGCTTGTATAAACTAGTAATAGACAACTAGAAATTGAAACTTCAAAACCACTCTTGGGCTGGAAGTGTCGCTCAGTCATAGAGCACTTATGTAACATGCACAAAGCCCAAGGTTCAGTCCACAGCACTGAACAAAAAGCAGTTGTATCATGGTGGTTTTATTTTTCCTCGTACTGGGGATTAAACGTGGGGCTTCACAAACATGCTAGGTAAGCATTTACCGGTGAACTATAAAATCCCAGACCCCAAAGAATACCACCTTATACAGCAACATCAGAGATCGACCACAGAATCCTTCACAGTAAGCTTAACAAAATACATGTAAGACCTTTTAATGAAAAACTACCAAACAAGGGGCTGAGGAGATGCTTGGTGGAATAAGTGCTTGCAAGCACAAGGTCCTGAGTTTGATCCCTGGTACCACCAAAAGACTACCAAACACTGGGGAAAGGAGGTGTTAAGAAATGATAAACAGGTAAAGGTGGCAGGCTCGTGGATTGAAGGACTAGGTGGTCACGGCAACAGAGGCGGTATCTGTCATTACACTACAGTCAGTGTGGTGCCACAAACTGCTTTTGAGTTTTGTATGGTTTGGTATTTTGTTCTGGTAGATAGTTAAAAGGTAAAAACTAAACCATCTACAAGAAAGAATCCTGTTCCCTGATAACCCTGGATGTTTGACTACAGTGGAAAAGTAACTTTAAAGATCGGAGAGAAAAATTATTACTTTAGGTTCAAAATTAAGTTTCTAAAGAAATTACTAAAAAAAAAATCACTGAAGGATATGTGTCTGTCTGTCTCCCCAGTTGTTTGAGACAGGGCCTTAGTTCAGGCAGGCCTTGAACCCCAGCAGTCGTCCTCCGTCAGCCTGCCAGGCCAGGGGCCCAGCTTTGGTGGTGATGTGGTGTCGTGTAACTGTGGAGGGAGGAGGGAGACCCGTGTAACTTGTTGTTTGGAGGTTACTCACCGCAGTGTGCTTATAGCAGCATTTTGGCTGATGGGGGAGATACTGGGCACAGAACCCAGGGGGGTTAAGGCTTGCTAGAACAGCAGTCTACCAACTGAGCTATGCGAGTCCTTTTTATTTTGAGGCAGATTCCTACTAAGTTACCCAGGCCAGCCTCCATTTTGTCATTATCTTCCCAGCCACCCTAGTAGCTGGCATTACAGCTGTGTGTAGGGTCTCCCCTGGCCCCTGCACATGCCCCTGCACTTGCAAACTAGAAGGCCAAGTGCCTTACTCAGAATTGAGGAACAGTCAACAGCAGTGATCTCCCATGCAACTTCCTCTGCCCTGCCACATGTCAGTCCACTCCTAGGCAAATAAAAGCTGGTTGCCACACAGGCATTGGCCACTGAAAGTGAAGAGACACTGAGAGACACTCCTTACAGCATGAGACAGCAGCCTGAAGGCCCGATGTACTGACCTGTGATGTTTTGTGTTTTTTGCAGATGTCCCCACAAGCCTGCATTTCCAGAGCATGCTGAAATCTCAGTGGCAGAACAAGCCTTTTGACAAAATCAAACCTCCCAAAAAGTTTTCACTTAAGCACAGATCACCCATGCAAGGCAGCCTGACAGATCCAGCTCGGAAAGACAGGCACAAGTTGGTCAGCTCCTTCTTAACAACAGCCAGTAAGTTTCAGGGAGCTCTGAGAGATCCTCCAGAGTCCCAGTTCTTAATTTTTATTTCTTTCATATTCTCAAGTTACTGTTTTGTCATGCCACCAATACAATGGGGTTGGGAAAGACAGAGGTCTCTCAGCTAACAGTGTGCTGCGTCTGCCTGTCATGGGCACTCTCACATGGACTGCGGAAGCTGTTCAGAACACCGTGGATCTTGGGGCAAGACACGAAGTGCTCAGTGCACAGCCGGCAGGAACATGCATTGGGTCCGTCTGTGAGCGGGCTGCCTTTGTGGCCTGCTTTCGTGTTTCTCTGCTTGTGGCCTCTTTGTGGCTGTTGTAGCCATTGTGCTATTCACTAGAGCCTCAGCCCCAAAGATTACCCTGCTGCCCTGTGTATGTAGCATTGGCCTAGGAAAAACTCAGCAGCTCAAAACTCAGGCAAAGATTTGAGAGAAGGTGTCTCAAGCTCTTTTTCTGTTCCCCTCCTCAGAGCTGTCCCATCAGCAAACGCGGCCTGACAGGACCCACAGGCAGCACTTAGACGATGTGGGGGCCGTGCCCATGGTGGAGCGAGCGGCAGCGCCCAAAGCAGAGCGCTTGCTCAGCCCACCGCCACCCGTGCACGACCCAAACCACAGCAAAATGAGATTGCGAGACCATTCATCTGAGAGAAGTGAAGGTAGGGCCAGGCCCGGCACCTCTACCTGCATTGCATCTGCTCGGGGCTTTCTGGGACAGCCCAGACTTCTCTTAACTGCCCCAGCTTGCCCTTCATGCTAGGAAAGCAGAACAGGGGCACTACTGCTTCTAAGCACAGGTTGTGTCTCGCTGCTGCGGCCACCTCCGCCCTGTCTCCTGCCTCCCGTCAACCAGTTGCTTCATCTTTTTATCCTCTAGGCTTAGAAAGTGTTTTCGCCTGTAGTGTGTGTTGCTGGCATTCCTACCTAGTTTGGGAAGTGGAGCTGGTTAAGATAGCCACGTATCTTCCTGTTTCTGTTGACTTCTGTAGTGTTGAAGCAGCACACCGAGGTCAGCAGTGCGGGCTTTGTGGCAGCCGCCCACCACGCGCCACACAGCCCCTTGGTGCGACAGCTCTCTGCCTCGTCGGACGCCTCTGCGCCCACCAGCTCGAGCTCGCAGGTCTCAGCCAGCACGTCTGTAAGTACTGTGTGCCGCTGACAGCACGCCTCTGGGGAAGTTCCTGTCTGCCCAGGTGGCTCTGGACAGCAGGTGGTGCCTGACTTCATGCCAGGTGGATACCCGGGGGTGGATCTCCATGGTAGAGGTGGGTCTGTGCCGAGCCATCTGTAGAAGTAGGGTGCTGGCAGACTTCAACACCGTTCAGGATTTGCAGACAAGTTTCGCCCAGAGGACGACAGCTCCTTGGCCTAGCACAGGAAGTGGGTGAGAGGAGCAGTAAAGGAGAGAGGCCCGCGGGCTTGCAGACTGCAGCTGGAGTGCTTGTCCTGTTCTCTTGGCGGGTGGAACTAGAGCGCTGCAGATGAGCTGCGAGCGCTGGCGGGTTGGAAGGGCAAGGGCAGAGTCCGGGGGTGGGGGTGGGGGTGGGGGTGGGGGTGTGCGCGCACGCACACACACGCGCAGGGCGACATTGCAGATCCAGCACATCAGCGAGATGAGGTGTGCACACAGGACTCATGGACAGGCCACTTTGGGTGCTTCTGTCCCCACTCCGTTAGCTTTTAGATAGAACTCTGCAAGTAGAAGCTGTCACCTAGCCAATCCACACTAATTCTGCTGGATTTTCGTTTTAATACCTCTTCTGCATTCTAATGTGTACCCACTAAAAGGTCTTTTGTGTGATAATCTTAATGACAATTATAACAGTGATAGTAATGACACAGCCCAGAAGCTGTTTTGTTTATTGAACAGTTGTGCTTTATGGGCATCATCCTGCTTGATCTCATAATGCCTTGTGAAACATAGGTGGGGTTGTGGATTCTCCTTCTGTGGGCTTGAACAGTCAGCTTGCCAAGGTTAGGCTTGTTGCGTGGGGGGGGGGGCAGCCCTGAGGGCTGCAGTTAGGATTCACGCCTGACCGCAGAAGCAGCGCTCACCGTTACACGCCCGTCTAAACCTGGTTGGGGGCATTGCAGAGGTGACTTACATGGCTCCCTAAGCTGTCGAGAAACATCGCGGCTTACAGAATACCTTTACTGGGCTTCTGTATCAGATAGGAATTCACATTCCTTTGCTCTTACAGATCAGGCCATCTTCTAAATGGCCACCTTGTCCACCCTTCTTCATCCCTTCCACTCGTAGCTTGTTGTACAGGTATGTGGCATCCCTCACACTTGGTAATATATCAGCAGAGGGCTTCATATAATTAGAGGATGTAGAAGAGTAGCTGGATTATTGGAAATCTGAACTGAGATGCAGGACTTGGTGAATATATCACTATTTTTCTCACCTGTCACCCCTCCTGAGTCTGGAGGGTGTGTGTGTGTGTTCTGCTTTGGGTTTTTTTCTTACTGTACTAGCCTGGAGAATGGTAACTTGGGCCTGGGTCATTGGAGTTTTTGTTTACTGGGTGGAGGTTTTGTGTATAGTATTGCGCTGACCTTAAGACTCTCATTGCCAAGTTTTTTCAGTGAACTTAAACCTAGTGTGGGCTAGATTCTTGCCCTTAGGTAGATAGAGAGGCTGGATGGCACTGGAGAAACTGTGAGGGGTGGGTCGGGGTATTGGTGGTGGTGCTCACAGAAATTGAGGTAGTGTCAGAAGCATCTCAGCAGCTTTTGTAAAACACCTGAAGAATCTCAGGACTGTTCGTGGTGTTTTAGGATTTCGGGCATCCTTGTTTCTGGCGCAGAACTAAGTTTAGCAACCATTTGCCATTCTTACTGCTTGTTTTCTACCTCTCATTCTACGAGGAGTGAGTAGTGAAGTTAGGCCAAAAGTGTAACTAATAGAACTGGCATTTCTAAGCTGAGGCAAGAAGTAGAGCCTGTTCTATTAGACAATCTCAGCTGTTAGTCTGAAGATATAAGCAGGCCCAAGAAGTGGAGGCGACATACATACTTATGTCTGTCAGCAGCGGTTTAACCTCTCTC